AATCCATTTGTTTGCAATAGGGAAAATTCTCTAACATGACTAACCTGTTGAAGCATGTTGTAAAGCTCACGCGTGTAGTTAGGGTCTTCTAGAACATTTTAACTCTCAGAAAGAGGGTATGTGCTTACAGAGCTTTCATGTCATGCTCAGTGTTACTGACGGCCTTTAAGGAGCCTTCTTCATATGAGCTGTGTAAATTTTATGCTCATTGCCAAAATGCTCCTTTAGCAAAGACTAAGCCTTTCTGAATCCTCTGTCCAAGACAACATGGAGACAGCTGTTAAAGTTCCCTCGGTCATCCTCTTGTGTACTGTTCCAGAAAATAGAAACAATCTCCAGGCTTTCTATTCTTGCTCTCACTGCTGTGATTAATAGATTTAATGGATGTTTGGTACTGAAGTTTGTCACTATCAAAAGAATCAATCTCCTTCAACTGTGGTTGGTATTATTGTCTTGGACTGGTAACTCAATACTTTGAGATTTGTGCTTTTGTATGCACAACTCGTATCTGTAAGGATATATTTTAACCTTTTTTTCCTGCTGTCCTGTTACAAAACATGACTCCATATTTTCATCATCGTCAGGTACAATTCTCTAAACACAGTTTGGCTGAGGTTCCTGAATTCGCAGAAATAAAGGTGGAGTAAAAGTAATTCTGTTACTCGAGGTACAGTCTATAGAAATATACCCTCAAAGCTGCCTCAACACAATCAGCATTTCACAGTAATATGGGGAACACAGAACAGAGAAAGTGGACATGACATAAAGTGGGCATGATTGAATCTAGTTTATTCCCACTTCAAAGAAGCTGAAGCTGAAGCTGAAGCGACTGCCTATGAGATACTGGTGACTGACTATGAAAGTTATATGAAAAACATTCATTATACTAACTTTTTTAAGGACCATCTGGGTTTGAATGTGGGGCTGTTGTTCTTCCTGTGCCCTGTGGGTGTTTTTTGTGTACCTTTGTCTTTTCTCACTGTACAAAGTTATGCATATTAGATTAATCTGAACTAGCTGTTTGGTGCCTGAGACTGCTATATAAATGCCATTTCTACGGTGGTCCTGAGAGGCCAAACGGACTGCAACTTCAGAAAACACTTGCAAAAAGAAAAATGGTGCAAAAGGAAAAATGGTGCAAAAAGAAAAATGGTGCAAAAAGAAAAATGGTGCAAAAAGAAAAACGCTGCAAAAAGAAAAATGCTGCAAAAAAGAAAAATGCTGCAAAAAGAAAAACACTTGCAAAAAGAAAAATACTTGCAAAAAGAAAAATGCTGCAAAAAGAAAAAGGCTGCAAAAAGAAAAAGGCTGCAAAAAGAAAAATGCTGCAAAAAGAAAAACGCTGCAAAAGCACACACAACACGGACCAGTTGCACGAACCAAAACGGCTGTATCCCAATTCAGGGTCTGCAGCCTTAAAGGCCGCATTTTAAGGCCGATTACGTCACAGCGACGCGACGAAGGCTGTCCCAATTCGAAGGCTGCTCGAAATGCGGCCCTCAAATGTGTCCTTCATTTCCCTGAATTTTAAGGACGTGGCGGTGTAGACTTCGTGGCCCAACATATCCCAGAATGCATAGCGCGGCGGTGGGTGTGGATAATTTTGCCGAAAAAAACGGCGGATGAGGGGCGCTGGAAGAGTAAACTTTAAGTAAGTACTGAATATTATGTCACTTATTTATGTGCAAATGTTTAATAACAAAGAACATTAAAACATTACTGTTTGCCACATGTCGGCAAAGTTATGTGACATTAGTGACGTTTGTACTAACTTACGGAGCCCCGCAGGGGACATGGGAGAAAAAAAAATTAAGACGGACTTTTGCGAGATCTTGCAAAACTAACTCGGGATCTCGCAATACTTTTGCGAGATCTCGCAAAACAAACTCGGGATCTTGCAAAACTTTTTTTGCGAGATCCCGCAAAAAAAGTTGCAATGAGTTAGTCTCATTGTAACTCTTTGTTACAATGAGACTAGCTGGTCAAAATCAGTTGTAGAAGCATCTTTAAAAGGCTTTCCCTAACTGAATTTTACATATCGACTGCATTTACACAGAATAGAAAAAAACTTGCAGAAAGGCCTACAAGCTCCAAAATGCTATTGCTTTAGAGCTTCCATAACGCCTGAATTGTGTTTGGTTGTACGTTTAAACCAGTCTCTCTGGGTTTCCTTTTCCTCTTTGGGACTTAATATAATAACTGACGTGTGTGCTTCTTTGTGGTTTTAATACAGCTGAATCAATTTCCCCAGTTTGTTGCAATCTTCCCTTGCATTTTCATCCTTTTTTGTAAGCTTTAATTTCATATGTTAGTCCTTTTGTTTTTTTCCCCACATTTGATTTGTATTCTGTCTGAAGACTTTCAATTTTTCAAGTCAGTGCCCTTATTTCAAGCTTGATTGTCCCCCTTTCCTCTATTTTCCTCAGGCATTTTACTAGTCTCACTCATTTTGTTAGATAAACTGTATTCCCAGCAGCTCAAAAGCTTAACTTTCTCGGCAATGCAAATTTGCAACCCAAAAAAAGCACATCGGCCACACTGTAACAGCCCAACTACAGCAAACCAAACAGGCAAGACATTTCCCAAAAGAACAAATAGCAGCCTTTAGAAACTGTTCAAACAGAAGCAATCAACACCTTTGATGACATCGATCTGTTCATGTCACCGAGTGACTTTCCTCTGTTTTTGCACCATAGATTATTTAATAATTTTCAGATAATCCCACGAAAAAATAATCAAAAAGGCCCCAACACAACAAAACACAGAGGTGAGGTCCAGTTCAGTGAGTTGAATTAGCCAGCTATGGCTGCCTTTGCCTAAGGCTCTATCAGTCAAACAGCCACATATACTTAACATTAAGCCTAAAAAATATCCAAAGGATGAGTTATTAATTATTATTAATAATTTTTTCTTTCCTCCTGTCTGTAAATATCTTCATTTCATAGCTGAATTTGGGATTCTTTGGGATTGACTTGCTTGTCCTGTAAGAATCAACACTGATTTTTAGTTGTGGATTTTGTTCCTTGATCTAATCTGAAGTGTCTGACTGATGCGCAGACGGACAGTAATTGATCTGAGGCATTAGAGAATATTATAACTTTGCTCTTCTCTGTGACTGGCTGACAGATCAACAACAGTACAAGAAAGCGTAGCCCACAGACCGGTCACATCACATCTAATAGCAAACACTCCCTGCAGGTTGACCTGCCCATGGACTGCCTTTGTATTACCCTGGTTGACCATAAAATAAGGATAAAGCATATAGAAGGCAGTGCACAGGGACAAAAGACATAGCCTATGTGGTTCCCGGAAGCACGGCTAAAACCTTTCATCCAGTGCACTTTGCGCAACCCCCATAAAGCTGACCCTCTGGCCTATCGGTGGCAGGAACACACAGAAACATCCATCAATCCAAAGTAATCTGCCTGTCTCTCGTGCTTCGGTTTGGACCCGGTGTGGTGGTGAGACCCGGTATTAGGGTTAGTTCTAATCTGTTTTCTGTCCTCTCTGCCCTGCTCCCTCTCATTTCAGCCTTATACCCACTGAACCACTTGTATGGATTCCCAATGTTCCCAACTATAGATGTCCCAGTGCTCCATTTTCCTCTCTTGCAGTAGAGGTGGGCGTATCGATCCAAATATCGATAGTATTGCCAACACCAGTATCGGTATTGGATTGATGCTAGCGTGATAGGATCGGTACTTGGAAATGAAATGAAAAAAACATACCTCAAACATGCACTACGAAAAATGTCTGATCCTTTTTGTGTGATTGCCAGTTCTGTTTTATTAATAGCCTATATCAAATTTAAACAACAGGAGTTGACCCAACAAGCTTCAGAGACAGGCAAATTTAAATTCCAGGTCTCCAAAAAACCCAGTTTACAAATAAATGGAAAGCTAAAAGATGTGTCTTTCTTTGTTAACTAATTATTGTGGAGAATAAAAATCACAGTGGACACTAAAATGCATTTCCAAATTGATGATGATTCATCTCATAAATTGTGACACACTGCTCTCCCCTAAAAAAGCTGGCTTTATATGTTAAAAGTATCTGTATTAGTACCCGCAGTACTGACCCTGTATTCCCTTGGTATTGGAACGATATTAAAATTTGCAGTATCACTATTTAGCACTATCTTGCAGCCCTGAATTGCAGAGAAATGGAAGGATCCATGACTTAGAGAGCACAGTAACCCAGGAGTTTTAATGAAGTTGTTTAATGTCTCAGAAACATTGTAGCTATCTGGCATGGTAGTGATGAGACCGGTCAAACACAGGAGACAAATGAAATATACAAAATAATTCATATCAGAAAATAAGCAGAGACGATTATAAAGCAAAAAAAAAAAATGTAAGTACAATAAATGATTAAGAAGCATACTGCTACTTCTATTGGATAAACCCCTGAGTTTGACAAAAAAGAAGAAGAAGAAGAAGAAGAAGCAGAAACCAGAAGTATATAAACAGAAAAAAAATTAAAAGTTGGCAGTTTTCTAGAAATTAAGAAAGAGGGTGACAGAGTCTGTTGGGTGGAGTGCCTGTGTAACAACACACAGCTGATACCAGACATGATTACACTTTCAAGTTTTAATATTTACAAAACAACAACAAAAAAGTATATTAGCAAAGTCCATGTCAGCAGAAGATATAATATTAATGATGATAGTTATAATAGTACTGATAGTAATATGAACTTAAAAACAAATTACCACAGATTTTACTCAAACAAATTCACAAATTTGAAAAGAAACTTAAGTTGTTTTAAGTCTAATACAAAAAAAAGAGAAAAAAAATCAGACAAAACATCAAACACATAAAGTGGTACCTATCACATCTTTACAGGTTGGAGCTGAGAGAGGCACCAGACTCTGAGCAAAGGAGGAGGAGGAGGGGTGAGTTGGCCGCATGTAGGCCCAGTTCCTTCCCTTTCTCCGGTGCAGTCTCCTCTCCCATCAGATACCTCACTGCAGCAGTTTATTGGCAGTCTGCTTTCATCATGCCACTGTGAGATGAAGAGGGGTTCATCTGCCTCAATTAGCAACAATGTGACCATTGTCCCTCAAAATGTGTGGAAGTGATCTTATTACACTAACAATGTACTAGCCATTCAGCTAATGATTATAACCATGCTCAAAGGCAACAGGTTCGTACTGCAGTCACTGGAGTGACCTACTCCTCCCCCCCCTCAGCTCGTATCCCACACAGGCTGCAGGGGGTCACTGTCATGCAAGGCTACTAGGAACCATCAGCTTGTGTGTGATTTAGAGAAAACCCTGTAAAGACACCAAGCTTTAGGTGTCACATTGGGTTAGCTGAACTGTTTTCATTTCTCAAAGCTCAATGATTAAAAAAGCAGCTTTTTCAAAGAAAAACATCACAGAAAAAACAAAATTAGAAGTCTGAAAGGAAGAAATGCAGTTCTCATCAGTGTAAAAGGTCCATTTCAATTCTATGTTAAAAACAACCTGTAGGTTACAAATGTTGTTGTGCTGTGGCATTTTTACAAATAAGCCCTGCTTTAAATTTGGTCCAAGTCAAACTCAGCTTTATCAGTCGAATCAAAAGGAAAGCTTGTTCTCACTAGTCTGATTTTATTCTGCATACATCAGTCTCTTTTTCCTTACATGTGGTCATTCCTTGATTTCAAGGCTGATTTTCTATGTTGCTTAAACACTATTGTCATCTCTTTGTTACAGTCACCAAACCGAGCTTCAACAGATCACATTACTCCCACTGATATTTTTCTGAAACAACAAACACGTAGAGTTTATTTCAGCCGATCACTTCCTCAGCCGATGTGTGATTGGTGGGACTTCTGTGTCCCAAGTTTACCTCTTCCTCCTTCTAAAACACATAGAAAGTAATCTTGTTTTTTTTTTTCAACCTACTTTGATTATTATCTTTTTATTTCTTACCTCTTCCCTCTACCTCCCTCCCCACGCCCCACCTCCTGTTATTTACAAGACCTGGAACTTCCAGGAGTTCTGGTCTTTGTAGTCCAGACAGTCAGCGGCATTGAAATTGAGCTTCCAGGCAGTTTGGTCTTTGTAGTCTAGACAGTCGACGGCTCCAAAGCCCAGTGAGGCGGCTGTGTAGCCCTGGGAGGACAGTGAGGCTGGGGACTGGCTTAGGGGCCCGCCCATAGAGGAGGCTGTGATAGGGCTCAGGGCCCCTCCGGTCCCCGACAGCTGTGGGTGCATTGGAGACAGGTAGGAGCTACAGTCCAGACCAGTGAAGTAGGAGGAGGAGCCTGCGTAGCTCTGGCTGTAGGCTGGGGCCTGGGTGTAGGTCATGGGGTAGGTGGTGGTACGCTGCATGCACGGGGTGGTGGAAGCAGACAGGGGGTCTGGCAGCGGAGAGATCGAGGCTGGGCTCCAGATGGACACTGTGGCACTAGCAGAGCTGGAACTGGGGGTGATGGCGGTGCCTGGAGGAGGGGGAGGAGGGCTGTAGGGACCGTTGGTGGGGTTGGCACTGGCCTCGGTGTTGGCCTCACGAGCAGGGGATGCCTTCTTTTTAGGGGGCCGTGGTTTGGACTGGCCTGTGCTCTGTTGCTGCTGCTGGCGGCACTTGGCACGACGGTTTTTGAACCAGACCTTTGGGAACAGGAGCATCAGAGAGAAGGTATCTAAGTATCACTATTTCACAATCAAAGCAGCTGATAAAAACATTAAAGATGTACACGCTGCTTTCATAAGAACTCAACAAACCCTCACTTTCTTTCTTTATGTGTCTCTGTGACACACTCACACACATGCACGCATGCATACACACACACACACACACACACACAGGTGTTTTGTCCTGCCAATATAGGAAAATATATGAGTATAATTTTCAGCATAATGTGTTACCTGGACTCTGGACTCAGGCAGGTTGATCTTGAGTGCCACTTCCTCCCTCATGAAGATGTCTGGGTAGCGTGTTTTGGCAAAAAGAGCCTCCAGGATGTCCAGCTGCGCACGCGTGAAAGTCGTGCGCTCCCGACGCTGTTTGCGGGGTGTGCCTACAAAAATTATTATTATTATTATTATTATTATTATTGCCACGTTAAAATCTACGTTGAGTTTATATCTGAAGAATTCTGCAGAAAAATTATTGGACCATGTAAGGCCATGTATCAACGTTGGTCTGCATTTATTACATTTAAAAAATGATTGAACTGATGATGAAAGAAATGATGAATTGAAAATAATATGAAATTCAAATCTATATATAAACCGCTTCAATAAAAACGCTGAAACAAATAAACGAATTCCGATTTTTCTCTTGAATTCGCAGCATACACTTTAAATACATAAGCACTGTTGCGGCTTCGTTTCACATTTTATACGCTGCCATGGATTTTTGCAGACATAAACAAATAGTGGCGAGTCTCCGTAGCTCAATCTTTTATGTGGCGTTGAGGAAAGAAACAAACGTGTTCGGGATTGAAAGGTTTTTATAGGACCGAATAAGCGGACCCAGCAGGCCTGATGTTTTTCTTTCTTTTTTAATATTTCTGACTGGCCGTCGGAGCTGTGCGAATCGAAAAAAAAGAAAGACCGAAACGAAATGAATATCCACATCGGGGATTATGACTTTTAAAAACGTAAACTTTGGGCCGAGTTTGACAACACGCCTTCTGCCGTCGTTTCAAACTATCCTCTGAGCTGTGGCAGATGCTGATCGCTGCATATCGGGCTTTATAAACAACCTCAGTGTTCATTCATTAAAAAAAATATATTATTAATGCACCAATATGAAATACAATGACTGTCCTTTTTGTAAATAGGTTACACTGTAAGCGCAACAGATTGGAGTTAGTTTTAATTCCGTGTGAGAACAGGCGGCCTTTCTCTTCTCACACATTTTCATTGTTTTTTGACTCTATAATCCTCTGAACTTATAGGTCAAGTGAACACATGTTCTGATACACGGAGCAGACACTTAGGTTCATAATCATAAATATAACCGTACAGATAAAGTTTCAAATATATTATTCAAATTGAGTTTTGTTTTTTTTTACCATTTTTCTGCGCAATATAAGCAATAAATACATAACGAATATTTCACTTAATTCCATCATTTCCCTTGTTTTATTTTATTTGTTTACTTAAAATAAAGGCGATTAAAGAAACTACAGGTTTACACAGATTAAAAACACACAGAAGTCAAAGGCCAGTACTTACTGGGATATCCAACGGCGGCGGTGTGGAGCAGATCCATGCCCGGGCCGGACAGCGTTAACCCGTTCACGGCGTAATGGGGTTGCTTAATGTAGGACATCATGCCTCCTGCCGGCTTTAAAACACTCCCTCACTCGCTCTCTCCTTCTCTCAGACCGGGGGCCGGGTCTCCTAACTAGTCTCCAGGGGGTGTATCTCTCTCTCTCTCTCTCTTTCCCTCTCCCTCCTCTCTCTCTCTCTCTCTCTCTCTCTTTTCCCTCTAACTGCCTTTAACAGTGTTTGTTCCTTTTGGTGGGATGTTTGGCCTTAGGTTGTTTTTGTTTTTTAATTGTCCATTGACTGCCTTCTCCTCAACTATCTTTATACGTTACTCTGACTTACTGCCTTCGAGCCAAGCACCTTTGGCCAAGCCCCTTTACGTTTGTTTCCACCTGACGCGTAAAACCACGGCGCTTTTAAGGGTTTGGTGTATGTTCAATGCTTCTAGTCAAAAAAAGAAAGACTACCTCAACTCAAGTCGGCCCGGTGCGACAAGTCAATACACCACACTGAAAACAGCACAGTTCGCTAATCGAGGCCGGTTAGAATCTCCATCAGAGCCGTGCGTAATTGCAGTGCGCACATATAACGTGGCCGGGTGAAAGATGCCAAAAAGCAGCGGCAGCAGCGGCAGCTCCACAGCAGTTTGGTGCCTGCGGTCTGACGGGTGTTGAAAAATTGTAAGGCGGGTGGGGCGCCCCTCTGTCCCTGGTCGTCCCTGAGAAGAAGAGGATGCTGATCTGCAGGGTGGACAAGTGAGGAGAGCGAGAAGAGACTGGCTAATTAGAAGTAACTTCTTATCCAAGTAGACACCCAGAGCCCTCCCTCCTTCTCTCTCTCCCTCTCTCTCTCTGCGCACTCGCCCACGCGCATCTACATATTGTTCATTATTCATTCAAGTTGTCTTTCAATAGAGGATAATATATAGTCTTTTTAATGTCCCTATTTGATCTAAATGTCGTCGCGGCAACAAAGAACACTTGTTGATATGCAGGCAGTAAACACAAACATCGAAAAAGTACTATAAAACACACACCGCGCGCGCGCAAACACAAATTTTAACAATTTTCGTTTTTATAGCCACTTGCCAAGCTTAACCTTACAGTCATCCCAGCAACAAGCATAGGTGTCCGGAGACATTTTCAAGATATCTTTTTTTTTTTTTTAAAAAAACGAATTAATTCTTTTTTAAAATTTTATTATATTGTTCTAAAGTGTTTTTGAAATTGGCCTCCCTAAAATAATTGGACGACTGAGTGTGGAGGCAGAGGTAGAGCAGCTGAGGCGGAGAAGGGGGTACAGGCCGGATTAAAAGTAGCACAAAGACCGCGTTGTTCTGCTATTAAATCCCCTTCTGATCCCCAACATGCTGCCTCCGGACCAATTATCCATTCATTCACTTAATCAATAATAATAATAATAATAATAATAATAATAATAATAATAATAATAATAATAATAATAATAATAATCTGAAACTAGTTTTATTTGACTTGTCAGGCCCTGGTCTGATTATATACCTAGATTATAAATGTGTAATAAGTATCTGATAAAGATGTTTTATCAGATACTTCCGACGTTATTTCGTTATCTTATAATTTTGTACGCACTATTATTACAGATGGTTGTTTGTTTTTTGTTTCCGTTACCCTTTGTTTATTTTGTCAGTCCTGGTTTTGTATTTATTATCGCTGAGCTTTGTTTATGCGTTGTGTCTCCTCCCGGGGCTAGTTTGGCCTGTGCCATCCTCTACAGCGAGACAATTTCACAGTGTCCAAAGCCGATTCTCTGCGCTTGTTAATTGAATCGGATTTCTTATAGTTTAAAATCCACACACACACATACACACACACTCATGTAGCTACAGCCCAAACTGTATAAGGGGTTTATCTAGCTCTGTAAAGCCAAAGCAGGAGATATAAAGACACACACAGAGCCACAGAGAGTATTTTACCGGCGTGTTTGAACGTTTCCAAATCTCAGAATAAAATGTCTTCACCTGCTGAGGTGTGTGTGGCTGTCTCAGTGTGTGGGAGGCCTTCCAGTGGGCGCGCTGTTCACGGTTTGGATACGGTGGACTCTTCAGTTGCTTACCACATCCAGGTACGCCTGTGTGTTTGTTTGTATGTCTAGCTGTTATTGTCAGTTGTTGTTGCTAGGGTAGTTTATACAGAGCTAACTGCTAGCAGGATAGCTAAATTGGCGAACTGTGGGGAGTCCGAGGACAAGACTGTCTCGAGACCTCCAGCTGACATGGAAAAAAAAAACGGCGGGAATAGCAAGACCTCAGATGCGCGTCAGGGCGCGAGCGCGGTAGTGCTGTGCACGCGCATTCTCCTAGCACCTTCCCCTTTAGAGTCTTAAGTACATTTTTAAACATGTTTTATGTTATAAGCTAACAGAAAATACATTGTTTTCTTACTTTTTTTATGTTAAAAATGTTTTTTGTTATGAGCAGTAGAATTTGATAAGCTTATAGTAGGAAAAAATAACTTCATTTAATCAGTAGTTTCTCAGTTGACAATATACGCGAGCATAATAAACAAAAGCGTAAATAGCCTGTATTGTATGCTAATTATAAATGACACATTTGTATTTGGGACTGTATTAGGCTATAAAGCATAGTTGTAAAATATTAGTATATAGTTATTTTTAGTTATTGTACATTTATTTTGAAATGGAAAAGCTGTTCTAAATTAGACTCTTAGGTTCCTAATAAGATAATAAAATATAGGATTTTTTTTTAATCGTCATTAGGTTGTAGCCTAAATGCTGCACCAGATTTAAAGAAGAAAAAAAGTTCCAAAACTGCTGCATCCATTGTTTTAGAAAATAAGACAAGCATTATGAAAGCATTAGGAAGTGGACTTATTTATTCAGAATTATTTAGTACAGTCACTATTTTTCTCCTCCAAGTTATTTTCTTTGTGATTTTTTACTCTTTAAATTGTGCTCTTGAATGTGCATAAAAAGATAAGCCCTCCCTAAGATACAGGCCTAGGTACCAGTCTAAATATTAATGCTCTTATTCAAAGCAGCGGATTTTACTGTTGCATGACAAGTAATGTTTTCTGGGTTGTTTGTTTTGGAAATTGTTCCGTGATGCTTGTGGTTTGGACGCACTAGGACCCAGAGTAGAAGCAAATTAAGGGCAACCATCACATAAGAGGCTTAGTGCATCTAATCTATACTCCCACAGACAAACACCCACACACACACACACACACACACAGGAGGGCACAGCATTTCGTAAACATCCCATTTTGAAACAAGCACGCATACATGTCCCACAGGCAAACACCGCCATTGTATTTTCATTTAGTTTTCATTTTCTCCAAACTCTTTTATTCCCCTTGTTGACCTTAACTGCCATCCCACTTTGTTAGAGAACATTTGCCCATATGCTCCACTATTTCTCTCATCCCTTTTTCATTAGCGAACGCCCTTCAATAAACTAAGAAGCTGAGAGCAAACTCATCCATTCTGGACAGCTATAGTTTAAAAAAAAAGAAAGAAAAATACTCAGATATGAAATCCTCCTCATCCGTATGCTATGCGCTGCTCAGATGGATGTCTGAATGTTTTAATTCCAAAGGATAAAAAAAGGATTTCAAACTGGAATTGAAATGAAGTTTCACTCAGTCATTGCTCATTAAATGTTCCCGAGGCTTTTTTACTGGCAGAAAATTTACTTTATTTTGCAGCTAGCCCTTTTTTCTGAATCCTCCCATGTTAAAACGGCTCAAAGACAACTTTCTCTTCTGTTTACTACCAATCCTTTACTTTGTGTGTGTGGGTGTGTGTGTGTGTGTGTGTGGGCATGATGGAGATGAAAAAAGCTGTTTTTGTGCCATTTGCAACACGACAAAGACCAAAAACCATTAAATCCAAAAAGGCCTAAAACACACATACACATGATTTACATGCACAAACCCTCCACACACACACACACATTTCCCCCCAGCTGTTAAATACTCTGACATCATATTGTTCGATACACAGCGTATTTTTGTATGTCTGTGTACACTCTGTGTGCTTATAGTGTGCATGTGTGTGTGTGTGTGTGTGAGACAGTCACACACACATACACACACGCGCACAGAGTTCAGCCGATTTATCATAATATGCTTTATCTGAAAAGTAAGTATCTTACCTCGGGATAAAGGGAGGAAAGAGGGGTTTGTGGCCAGATTGACAGAGGAAGGGTGGATGGAGAGAACTGAGCGCTCACTGCACTGGAACAGAGAGCCTGGACCTTAACTTCTGTGGCTGGATTGATCAGTTTTGATAAGGTAAACGAACATTATAGGAAGTTGCTGTTGTGAGAGAGAAAAGGCCACAGTGGTGTTTGTGTGTGAGTGAGGGTGAGACCGGCCAGGCTGGCACAAACGAGAAGGTAAGAATGCGACAGTTACCGTGAGCGACTGGCGGACGACAAAAGTCTATAACTGGAGGAAACTGGGCGGAAAGTTAGGGCGGATGGGGTGGAGAAGAAGGAAGAAAGGAAGACTTGACTAGAGTGATGATAAAACAGGGCAGAAAAAAGTGGAAGAACACAGAGAGAGAGAGAGAGAGAGAGGCAGATGGAGGGGGAGCATGGGAGGGGCGTTGTGACAGACCCAGTTTGAGCTTTCTCAGGGTCCCGCTGTCAGCGCTGTGCCGCCTCTCGTGTTTTTCAGTATACAAGTTGGCCTATTCATATAGAAAGTCATTCACAGATGACACATGTTCATACTACATCTGTTGTAGGAGTTTGTATGTAGCTATGAATGCTGTTGTTGGAGTGTATGTATCGAGGTCAGTGTTAACTCCTCATTTAACTCATGTAAGGATTACTCTGCGTGAGCCCAGGTCAGACCATGTGTCTCTCTCTCTGATAGTGCTTACATTTCATATATGTACAGTTGTGCGTAGGTTACACTGAATAGTCCTGCTGTTACAATGTTCCTGCACACTGTTATTGTATACGTATGCATATGCATGGGCTTGCGTGAGCGCGTCCTTTGAGAAGGATTTGGGTTACCAGCAGTCTGTCATGGGTCTAGGCTGTTAACACTTATACAATGCGATGCATATAGAAACATATACTCAACAAATATAGACCAGGGCTGGATGCTTAATTTACTTGCACCTTGGTGGCTATGTATATATGGATACAAACAAGCTAGTTTAAAGAATCTCTAACAAATTTGATGCAGCTAAAACTTCAGTCATATTTATACTTGGTGGTCTCTTTGGTGATATATTGCATGTTTGGAAACCTCTGAAAAATGGTTTCACATGAATTTTTTATGGTAAATACAGCCTGGAAGAAACTAATGCTTTCTTATTTATATTTATGACATTTTAAAAAAGAAATACAAACCTATTTCCGTGATTCTAAAATGCCTTTTGTTCACACTATCAGCTTTTATCAACTGCAACCAAATACTTTTTTTTTCACATTTTTTCAATCTTTATGATACAGTCACATGAGGCCCTGTTCTTGAATAGACTCGTGGCTATCAGGTTGATGAATGATATTAGTGAATGTTTTAATTAACCCCTGAATGCCTAGTGTAAACTAGTGTAACTGGTGTAAACTTGTATAAACTTCAATAAATTACACAATAAATTTCGAAGCAATAAAATGCACACACTCCCCCACCCAAAAAAACAAACAAACAAATAAATAATTCTTTACATCCTGCAGCAAATAGAATAAAAATGAAAACTCATGCACTTATGCAAATTAATATTGCTGTATAATTAATATTATAATTTTAAAAATTTTATTTTCAGTTTCAGGGTTCACCTTTAAAAGTGTTAAAGTGTTGGTTTTATTACCAAGCGTGTTATGTGAACAGTTGTTTTATGAGATGAGATTAATGTAATTATACATAATGTATGATATGCGTGACGTCAGTCGTTGCAGGATGCAGTTCTGCTGAGTTTTTTTTTTTTAAAGAAGCTGTGCTGCACTCCAGCCTCCTTTGGGTCCCATGTGGAGGCACAAAGTGTGTGTATGACAGAAGAAGGAGGATCAGTCTGACTATGAGTTCATCTGTAAATAATGTCTGGCCAGCATCTTGATCAATTTCACAGACTGCAGACCCCCTGATGCGTGCATGTGTGTGTCCTGCTGTCTTCTCTGGTAGACAGATCTCTAATCAACTGCAGACAGCAGCAGGTGGTGTGTGTGTGTGTGTATGTGTGCAATACCAGTCATCATTTAACCCCCTCCCTATCACTGTCTGAGGTTTTAGGGTGTTAACACCTGTTCATACCGTCATACTCATACACTTGTAGTAGAAGCTGAGAAACTGCATACCAAAATATCACCAAACAATGTCAAAATATTCACTTTTAATACTGGAAGTGAATACAAATTCGGTAAATGCAATAAAAAGAAAAAAAAGTACACACACTCACACACACATATGCCGAAATTCTGACTTGAACTAATTTAATTACATGTAAATTGTTCATTTAATTTTTCTATGCAAGTGCAATTTAAATTGCTACATTTAATAGGATCTGGTCCAATAAAATTGTACCTGATTGTTATACTTTTTGTACTTATTTAAATAAATAAACCTTTAATTTTTATACATTTCAGATGCAGATTCATTCAAAATTCTGGCTTCATTTTAATTGTGGTTGAAGAAAAGGTTGATAATGATCATTCAAAATACAAATTATGTTATGGAATAAACGGAGTTCATAATGTTGACTGATTATTTGAGGTAACCTTTATAGCAAATCAAATACTTTTCATTTGCTTAAAGTTATTTATTATTATTCATAAAAAAATATATGATTAAACTGTAAAAACCGTGGAAAAACTGCTAATGTAAAAGCATTCACAGTGTTTAATTAACATCAAAAGGCAGCCTGTGCTCTTCAATTCAGTTTGCTTTTTTTTTAACTATGTAGCACTAATTCACAACAACAGCACCCTCAGAGCGCTTTATAATTGTATGGTAAAGACTCAGGTTCGGACTCAAACTCGGGCCACTGCTCTCTGACCATATGGCATGCAGTTGCCTGCTGACTCACAGGTACTAAAGTAGTACCTGTTACCCATCTATTCATAACTTAGACACAGCTTACACTAAGTTTAACTTGAACCTAAGTTTTTCAATTACACTATATGGACATGCTTTCTGTCTCCAGGGAAGTTATGTCCCCCAGATGTAACACACACACAGGCTTCAGCTAGTTAAAACAAAGCTCATATGTGCATTCATGCATGGCTTTATATGCTTTATAAAAGACCGTGTGTGTGTGTGTGTCTTCTGATCATGTGTGTGTGCTGGTGTGGAGGAGAAGGGGGACATTATTGCAGTGGGTGGACAAAGGTGGGGTGAGTTGAGTGTGTGTGTGTGTGTGTGTGTGTGTGTGTAGCGTGGTACAGTAGCTTGAACCCCCACCCACCACCTGCAACACCACCAGCCCATATGGCAGTAGACAGCAGTAATAATCATGGAAGTGGAGCAACAGGCCCTGAGCCTCACTAATCCTCAGCCACACTCCGACACGTGCCACACTGATGCATACACCCACCCTATGGACACACACACACATACACACACACACTGAATGGTACTGAAGGTACCATTTATATATGCAATCATGCACACACACACACAGTCTCACAAATGCGTGTACTAATGAAGAGAACAGAGTAGAATTACAAGGAATGTTTATTGCTCTGTAGCGGGTGGAGCTGCCACTGTTGTCTCAGTAGGTCCTGGTTTATCTTGCTTCATTAAGAACACTGTGCCAAAATACACATAAACAAACACACACACATCTTGCATTTACAGAACATCTTTCTCTCTATCAACGCTGTTTTTACGCTGCACAAAGTTGCTGTTTAATCTCAGTTATGAAGCCATCGATTTCATGTTAATATTGTAACACATCGCCACAGGAGCACAAAGAGTTCTTTCTGATCAGCAGAAAAGCACCTTGGCTTCGTGCGCGTCCAAAAGCACATGCACTCGGCACACAAACAGAGTCGTGCGCACTCGCTCGGTACACATACACACACAGAAAACCTGTTACGTGTGACGCACAAGCAGACAGGGCGACAATGGCGCTCTTATTGTTAATTGGCTGTTTAATCCTGAGGAATGTGTGTGATTAGTACCCACCGGTGGGTCAGGATCTTGCTCAACACTCTTGTTCACAATGGACGGGCTGTAACAGAGATGTGGGAGTGAGCAGGCGCGCAAATGCACACTTGTGCACACACACTCACACAGAAGGACAAAGGTGTGCACATAGCAGTCCATGGGTATCACAAAAACACACACATATACACAGACAATTGAGCATCAATACACATGTGCAGATTGAGAGGCCCTCTCACAAAGTACTGAAGTGACCACACATACACAGCAATCTACCCAGCATGCAACTCAGTGGCAAAGAAAAACCATAATTGTGATTTCAATCATATAGTACTGCTCATGCAAGGGACACACAATTTGCAGGAAACACAATATATATACATGTAGCTACACACACATGTGTGTGCTCTTTTTTTTAACAATCACACCTTCACAGCAGAAAAGAAAGCCACCTCAGAAGAGCAGGAGGCTACATCATGAGCATTGTCTGATGGTCATGAGACTGACTGCATGCTAACCCATATTCTCTTTTGCCTTCTTTTGTAAAGCACTTTTTTAATGCCATAATATTCAACACAAGTGTAACTTTATATGTAAAAATTCACCCATTGTGTAAGTGTACTGGTAAGTGAGGTAAGCCACTGGTTGCACTGAAATGCAACGTGTCCTTAACGTTGTTTGTTTCGATGTTGTTTGTCAAGATTCAGAGGACACTTAGAGCACGCTACAGTGGCCTGCCTGCATCATGGGGTCCACTGTGCTGCTGCTGCATATTTACAGGAGTGTAAAAAGGTTATGATGGACAGAAAGGAAGGGTTAATGGGACAGCCAAGACTGGTTACAGGTGGACTGCTGGGTCCTGTGTGTGTGTGTGTGTGTGTGTGTGTGTGTGTGTGTGTGTTCTGTAGGAGGTCCAACCAGGCTGCATCACTGCTGACACACTGCTGCTGGTAAATCCAGCTTAGTGTGTCTAAAACAGGCCTACGAAATCTGCCACAGGGCACCTAATGCTAGGGCCGCTGTCACCCTCAATCACTCACACACACCTAATCCCCACGCTGTGACCCCACACACATACACACACACACACATGGCCAGTGCTCTGGGCCCATTTAGCTTGGCAGGCACTCACAGTACCAGGAGACACCAGCCACAGGGTCAACATTTCATATGGTGGGGGAGTGATGGGGGAAAAGGAAGGATAAATGTGAGGTAGAGGGGTATGAGCTGCAGGAGTTCAGGCATGGAGGTAAGAAACAGGTGGCATTAGCGCTTGAGGTATGGCCAGAACAGAGAGAGGAGCAGAACAGCTGTGAGGTGAAGGTGCCTGAGGAAAAAGAGGGTTATGAGGCTGCGAATACAAGAGAAGTGGTGTGTTTGTAGGGATGAGAAAAAAAGGCACAGGGGAAAATGAAGGGTATGTGGTGAGGAGAGGACATGGGAAAAGATACTTAGGGGCGTCTGAGTACAAATCAATTCAAAAATTAAAAAGGCACCGCTTCGTTAAATACACCATTGAATAAGACGAGCAGGTCTTGATAGCAGTGGGCAGGGGTAGGACCCTAAGAGAAAAAAAAAACTATAAAGCTGTTTATGAAAACACATACATATATAATTAACTGTTTAATTATTCTTAAAGTTTTATAAAACATCTAGTATTCAATAATACACCATAAGAAAATGAAAGAGGAGCGGTCTTATAGTTAATTGTGTGTGGTGATATTTGTTTTCCATTACAAAGTCTTTGTTTTTTCAAATTTAAAGATCCGCTTCAGTCATGGAGTGATACAATTATTTTTTCTTTCCAATCCTGTAAATCTTCTGTCATGTCTCCAATAAAAAGCTTCACTTACATCTTCTACTGTAATTAATTTTAAAACAGCTTAAAATAAGACCTCCCTTTCCACCTTCCTCTGTCCTACTGTGTGGTAATCCCTAAATTAATCTCAAGCACAGATTGGTCTTTTTCATTAAAGATAATGTTACTGCAGTTTGAAACTTAAATGAAGAGACCATTCACATTGCTGTTATATAACCCCTGTGCTTTTCCAGAGTTATAGACTGTATATAAAAGATGGACAATGCTACCAGCTCTGAAAAGTGACGTAGATCTGTTCTTTTAAAAGCCAGAATGGGTGTAACTTGAGTCCAGTTGTGTAGAGGTCTAGGGGAGAACATCCCTTCAGTTTTCTTGCTGTTTGATCTCAGTAAACACGTTTTAATTAGTCATTACCTCAATTGCTAGTTCCAAATCATATATTATATAACAAAATGTTTTATGTGCTAATCACAGACTTAATTAAAGTAAAAAAGGAGGATAAAGCAGGATATGCGTCACTGTGTTTGACAAATTGCTAGCTAATCAGCATGCAGTGGCTTCTCTGTCTGCTTTATGGTGGCCATGTCCATCTTTAGTATACAGTCCATGGCTGTAACAGTCAATGTTTCTGCCAGAATAAAGTATCTAAAAACCAGGGACTGGAACATGTAAAGGTTCCAGTACTCCAACTACTTTTGGAGTACTTGTGGATCCACTAAGTATAGCTAGCATATCTACGAGTTCAACACTTTTATTGGTGGAGACTTTTTCATGTCTGTCTGCATTTATGTAAACTGTGAACCTGCCAGTGCTGACAGCGTTCTTCTTTGTGTTCTGTGTTTTTCCAGGTTCCTGTGCATGCAATGCAGCAATGGGGGTTGAAGAGCCAGCTGGTTTTACCGGTTAAAATACTAAACTGAAAAGTTTACACACACACACACACACACACACACACATGTATATATAGAATCTTTATGCTACACTGCAGCACTGTTCCCATCCTGTTGACATGGGGTTAAAACAGGCCATAAGAGTTTATGTGCCAACGCATATACCTTTATACACAATCTTATGTTATCTAAGAAGTACAGAAATGCTCCCATAAAGTAATTGGAGGCGAGACACTTAAAGCCTATCAATGCAACTTAGGACCGTGCTCCAACCACTAGGAGCTTTAACAAGACTAGCAGGGCTTTTTGATGCTCTCAGTCTAAATCCTTAATGTGTCTGCAAACAAATTGAGAATCTAGTCTTTAAATATCCTTCTTCTCGGTCCTGTCAGCTTTCAAATGACCTTAAAGTATTAATCTTATCTTTAAAATGTATTATTGGAAGGGCATTGGTAAAGTTACATTACATAGCACCAGTTCACAACAGCAGTTATCTCTATGAGCTTTACACTGTAAGGTAAAGAGCTTGAAATATCAGATGTAAATTCTAATGAATGGAACAACCCCCAGACCACTTGGTGGCTGTGGGAAAGAAGAGACCTCAGCAGGCTGCAGGGCAGTTGGGGGATAGTAAGGAAACAGGACAGAACCGAGGAGCAAAGAGAGCTCATAAACAACAAACAAGATGAAACACAAACTACTGGAAACTGGTGCAGAACAAACACGTGTATGATGTGTAACATCACATGGCTACCGTAGAGATATTGCAACGGTACAGTATTTGTTTAAGACAATTTCAGGGCAGTGAATACTGTGAAACTACTTGGCAGGTAAGTAATAAATATTGTTGTCAATGAGAGAATCAGCATTATTAATAATGTAGGATCACAGTTTAACTTCTGTAAACTAACAGTATATTCATGTAATCTGCTTCTAATAATAAAGTAAAAGCATAAACACGCTGCTGTTCTCTGTCATTGTAAGTGTTCATTTTAAGAGTGAATATGTGCGTGCGTGGCCTTTCAGACTGCCAGGTGACATTTTGTAAATGGTGGGTCACAGTGTGTCTTTCTGGTGGACTGGAAAGACACACAACAAGGGACAAATAACAAAGTGGAAATGCACGATTGGCAGTGTGACACACATACAGACACGCAATCCCCAAAGACTTGGAAGTGTAATAGTTTACGAGAGTCAAAATAGATTTCTGTAAATAGAAAAGTACAAAGAAGAACAAATTCTGTTATGAAATACTCAGAGGAGGGTGGAAGCAGGCGCACCACTGCCATCTAGTGGTCACAAGAAGAAACACAGGACATTCAACAGTGAATAACAGGCAGAGAAGCCACATACATTTCAACACAAGAGCCTCATAAACTGTGATTGCTTTTTAAAATTAAATCTGCTTTAGCTGCAGCTAACATAAATGAACACATGACTGTTTCTAATGGCCTCATTACTCTACCCCGTCTAAATCCTGGATTCTTAGTTCTTGCTCATGAATACGTCCAAATCCAGGATGACATGATTGATGGAATAAGGTGTGAATCTTTGACCACTTAAAGACTGAAGTGACCTGTCACCTAAACAGAGTTGATCAACAAGAATAACTGCACCTTACTGAGATATCTGTACAAATTACAAGCCAAAATTAATACATCTCCTTAATCCGTTCACGTTAAACTAACACACGACATTACTCAGTCTTCTTTGCATTCAGTTTTATTGTGAGTTGCTTAAAAAGCATTAAGTATGACTCCCAGGGACAGTTTTATTATGATCTTTGGAGAGTGTTGTTATAAACATACAGTCCTAAAAATGCTGTATGATAAATATTATGCACAAACCAGCATCCAACAAAAGTTTAGCTAGTCGCTTTAGGTGCAAGATCAAAATTTAAAAATGGCATTACTACTCTATACAGAACTGTTTTAAAAAAGCCCACTGGAGATATGTGTCCTATCACTATGAATCAAACATGCATCGATCCTTTTTAGCACAGTTTCTTCATCAGGTGCGCTTGATTAATCTGTCTGGACATGCAGGTGACCGATTGTGTACAGTGTTGTGTACAGTGCAGTACAGAACAGCATTGGTAAATTAGACTAAATCAAGCACACCGACTATAGCAGACTATGATAAATCACAGACCGATGTTTGCAAGGGTGTCTCTACTCCCGCTCTGCTATGGCAACCAAGTGGGTTTCAATCTCTTCTCCAGAGAGTGTCCTGCCAGAAGGAGAGGAGGGAGAAAAAGTGGAAGAACAGAAGTCAGACATGGCCATGTTAAGTCCTTCAAAATAGAGAGATTCAAATCCTGTATAATTACCAGACTGACAAAAAAATAAAAAGCATCTGACAAACAATATAAAAGGAATGAACCAAAACAAAAAAGTAAACTCGTATTTGCAATAAAAGCACCTAAAATAATAAACAATGCCACGTTTCTTTCAGGGTAAAAATCTAGAGCAGAACCTCAGTCATGACCCATGTGGTGAAACCAGTGTGTGAATGAAGTTACCTGAACTTAGGTTTGTCTTTGGTCACTACGCCGATCTCCAGCTCACTGGCCTTGAAGTCCACTGACAGGACAGAGGACAGACAAGAAATGGCCAACTGGAAAGACAGGAAGGAAAATACAGAAAAAATCCTTCAGTCAGAACATTCAAGAGGATTTTCGGTCAGAGCGAAAGCAGAGTAGAACTTCACAGACTAACAAGGTGCACAGAGGAGAGAAGGGCGAAAGAAAAATGTTGTTTCAGGTGCGTTTTCCTACAACACAGGTTGTATTGCAAGTCATTCAAAAGGTTTTAATAGTTTTGAGGAATGCTGGTTGATTCTCTGGCATTGGGCGATTTTCAGGCTTGGTTCAGTTTACACTTGGTTAACTGGCCTGACTCCAACATCATGAACAAAATCATGGTTTA